GGATGGATGGATAGATGGAAGATGGATGGATGGATAGATGGATGGATGGAAGACAGGATGGAAGATGGATAAATGGATGGAAGGATGGATGGATGATGCATGGATGGATGGATGGATGGATGCATGGGGAGATGGAAGAATGGATGGATGCAGGAAGACTAGAAGGAGGATGAATGAATAGATAATGAAAAGATGGCTAAAGAATGGTTAGATAAAGGATGAATGAATGAATGGATACATGAAGGATAGACAGACGTCTGGCTAACTGTTGATATGTGACCATCTACAAGTTTCTAATGAACAGTGATCAGGTATGAGTAATTGAGAAATAGTAGAGAGTTGTCACACAAGTGGCAAATGATAGCTCAATGACCAACTTGAGATAACAGGAAATGAATGAGCAATAAGAGAATTCTAGAAATGAACAGACAGGACAATGGATAGAGGCCGACTTCCACGCCTGCTGGTGAACTCCTGGGAGGAGAAGGAGGACTGAGGGAAGCTGAGAGGTGTTCACACCCACAGGCCAGGGCTGACCTGACCCCTCTCTGTCCGCAGGTCAGAACCCACACCCGTCCGGCCTGGGCACAGGCACTGTGATGAGCATCATCCTGGCCCTGGTGCTCCTGGTGGTGCTGCTGGTCGTGTGTGGGCCTCTCGCCTACAAGAAGCTGGTGAAGAAATGTAGGTGGTGTGCGCAGAGCCCCTCCCTCTCTGGGGCAGACCAGTGAGGCTGCATTTAGGCCCCAGGGAGGAAGGGTCCTACCCAGAAAACTGGGAGGATTGGGGGTCCTCCCTCTGTCTCATCACCCCACCCTGCCCTGCTCCTGTTCCTGAACGCAAGGGGTTCTTTCCATGGTCAATTGCCAATAAGACAGATGGATTGCAATATCCAAAGCACTTTATTTCAGTTCTGGGAGGACAGAGAGAATTCTTCTCCAAAAGTGCCTTCCCTTCTGGGAACGGTCATTAGTTTCTCTACTTGGGTTAGATTCTAATCTACTTAATAATACATTTTGTTAATAAAGTTACAGAATTTTTACAATTAAAAGGAACTGTTCGTATAGTTTCTAGTAAACAGGTAATTTATAAAATAGTTAACATACGACTGAGAAAAAAAACAGTATTGAAAAGGTAAATGCTAATCCAGGAAAGGTGTATTTCCCTTCCTGGTAAACAGGTCGTTGAAGATACAATTTACATATAACAGAGAAAAACTGTTTCAAAGAGGTTAATGCTAATCTAGGAAAGATGCATTTCTCTGGTAAATAGCTTAAAGCACTTTACATGAAAGAGAGGGGAAAGCATTCTAAGGCAAAGTAGTTTTGCAGGCTGGAGGCAACTGATGTCCGTTTTATAACTATACTGACATGTTTAAATAATTCTGAATTTATTAATAATCACCCCATCACTCCTGGCCAAACTAACAGAAACTGAAATGCAGAAAAGATGGGAAACTTTCTTGATTCACCATTTCTGGGATCCAGCTGAGACTCACTAGAGCCCAAAAGGAGGGTGTAGTGACCCAAGGAACCCCAGCTACCAGGATTCAGGTGTCCTGCCAGCTGCACAGGACTGTGACAGTGTCCTCCCCTCGCCGAGCCTCAGTTTCCTCTTCCACCAGGTAGAGGCTGTCCACCACGTCAATGTAGGGGCTGTTGTTACTCCTGCCTTGTAAAATGTAGGAGAATATGATTCAGAGATGGGATCGGAGCGACTGGAAAAGAGTGAACTCAAATTCACCAATGCTTTCATAAAACTTTCTACTCTTCCTAAAACCCTGTGGCCAAGTCTCCAGGGGAACCAGCCACCTCTGCCCGCCCTCAGTACATTTAATCTCCCCAGAAGTTAGGAAACTGAGGCAGCGAGAACCTCCAGGACCAGGACCCAGCAACCCCAGCCTCACTAACCTTGACCTGGGGCCTCCTCCCTCCCCGGCCCCCACCCTAACAGCTTCTCCTGTCTGTCTGTCACTCAGTCCGTCAGAAGAAGCAGCGCCAGTGGATCGGCCCAACAGGAATGAACCAGAACAGTAAGTGTCCCCACGGCAGGGTTCACCTTCACCCCAGGGAGGAGGCTATAACCACGAACAGGGCTAGCAGTGGCTGCTGGAGGCTTCTCAGCTCCACCACGGAGTGGAGTGTGGCCAGCAGATGTGGACCACAAGGTCAAGACTGTGGTTGATACAGTTTCTCACACCAGGAGGGGCCAGGGCTTCTTGAAGGGGGCAGATGGTTACATGGCTTCTCTGCCCAGAAGCCTCAGAGACCACGAGGTCACCTCTGTGTCGTATGTCCTCTTTGGGGTTGACTGGTAAAGGTCCCCAGTGTCCTTCGTCCCTGGGCAGCATCCCCCAGGTCCATGGTCAACAGAATGGAGGAATGCAGAAAAATAATTGCATGATCAATGGATCTGGGAAAAGAAAGAGTTCGGCAAAGCCAGGCAAGCTCCTGATTTCAAGATTGTCAGAATTCTGGTGGGAGCTTTGTTGGCCTAGTGGTAAGAAACTGCACTGCAGTCCCAAAGGCACACAGTTCAAATCTACCACCCGCTCTGTGGGAGAAGGATGGGCAATCTGATCCCATGTAATTTATTGCCTCTGAAAACCCACTGCAGGGTCAGCTATGGGTCTCTTTTGACTGGACTGCACACAACAAAGAACTTTTTTTAAAAATTTAATTTTATTATTTTGTGTATGTATCGTCAAATCAGATCTGACTGATACAGAAGGATATTGCCCCTCCTTCTCCAGCATAGCATCTGGTGGATTCAAACCACGAACCTCTGGGATTGCCATGCAGCTTCTTGCCACTAGGCCACAAGAACTCCCTAAAAAAGAACTTTGAAGGAGCGTTTTTGGCATTGTGCATCTCCAAGGGCAGTCCACCTTGGTTTGATCATGGAGTGTCTTTCTCATACAACGACTGAGAAGGGCCTGGTTTAGAACCTGTTGGTCAGCCAGCCGGCCACTCACCCTGGTCCTCCCAGCCACAGCCAGAGGCGTTCACATGACAGAACCCCAGGCCTCTCCTTCCCTCCCAGCCCACAGTCTTTCCAGAAGCCTCTCTTTATTGCAGTATGAAGGCCATGCATTCTAGTCAGCGAGGTCTGCCCTGTCCCCTGCGTTACAGCCTCCCTCTTTTAACGTTTGATCATTGACTCCTTGGTTCCCATCAGATGGCAGGCCAGCTCTAGTTCCTCTAAAAGCCTGCTGCTGGCCCTGCTATCACGCACCTCCTTGGAAAGAAAAGGAAGGGGGTGCACTGAGAAAGCTGTGGGTGCCCCCACCTTGGCATAGTGAGAAAGAGGAAAGTGGATTTTTGGGGTGGCTGGAGGAGAAGGAAGAAGAGAGACGCAAGGCTGATGGCTGTTCCCTGCATTTTCTCAGTGTCCTTCCATCGCAACCACACGGCCACGGTCCGCTCCCAGGTGGAGACGCCTGCAGCCTCTCATGTGGACAATGAATACAGTCAGCCCCCCAGGAGCTCCTACCTCTCTGCCTATCCAGGTAGGCCCCCCACTGGGGCTGCCAGGAATGAGGTGGGGGGAGTGGGGCAGAGCTGCGGTAGCCAAGCATGGAGGGGAGGAGAGGGAGAAGCCCCTGGAGGAGGGAATCAAACTGCCCTGCTTGACCAGGGGTCATGGGGAAAGAGAGGGGAGAGCAGGAAGGAGGTTTGCAGCTTTAATCGGCCCCTGGGGGCCCCAGCCACTCAACCAGCAATGAGGGCATCACAAGCCATTAACTCCCGGCCTGCTGTGTGGTAATGGGCCTGGTGCTCTGCAGGGCCCTGAGGACCTGGCGGAAAACGAGGCCTCTCGGATGTCTTCCAGCCAGGAGGAGCCTCCAGTGGCCTGCAGGAGCTCACACTGCAGCCGACTCTGGCTCCAGTAATTGAGCCCCAGGCAGCCAGGGTTCAGCCTCATTAGGGAGCAGCTTGGCTGACTAGATCAAAACCGACTGATAGAGGAGCCATCGACTCATTCAGCTCCGGCTCTGAGGCCAAGCTTGTCTGAAGCGGGCCCACTTTTTCTCTCCCCAGCTCTGGAAGGGGCCCTGCACCGCTCTTCTGCACAGCCCGACAACTCCTCCGACAGCGACTATGACCTGAACGGGACTCAGAGGCTGTGAAGGGTGAGCCAGCACCAGTCCCAAAAGGCAAGGCCCTGCCCTTGAAAGAATAGCACGCTCACTTCCACCTCCTGAGAGAACAGAAGTCAAATAGCAAACACCAGGCATTCAGGAGACTGACTCCTAACGCGGCACCAATGGTCATGCACTCCGCTGCTGAGAGAAAGGTCGATGGTTCAAACTCACCTGTGGGCACCTTGCAAGAAAACCCTGGTGTTCTTTATCCTAAAGGTCCCAACCATGAAAAGCAGTCCTTGAAAGCCTTCCAGAGTAGTTCAACTCTGAAGGCAACTGGCTTGAGGTTTTGATTGAGTGTTGGACGCTGACTTGGCAACTACAGAAATCCAGTTACCAACCAGTCTATTCCAGTTCCAGGTGATCTGTGTGTGTCAGAGGACAGTTCTGCTCATGGGGTTTTCAATAGCCGATTGGGTTGCCAGGCCTTTCCTTCAGGTGCCTCTGGGAAGACTTAAACCCCCAACCTTTTTGTGAGCGGGCAAATACCTTCAGTACCATCCAAAGACTCCAGCAACTGGAGTGATTGGGGCAGAGCAGAGGACTCAACGGTCTTAAAAAGCATTTTTAAAATTTTTTAAATTATTATTTTATTATTATTGTGTGCATGTACCGTCAAATCGGATCTGACTGGTACAGGAGGAGATTGTCCCTCCTTTCCCGGCAGAGCATCTGGTGGATTTGAACCGTTTGCCTCTGCCACTAGGCCACCAGAGCTCCCCTTAAAAAGCATTTTATAAGATTGCATTGCAGAGACCCTAAGCGTTTCAGGACGGAGCTGTACCCACCCAGAGCTGCCCGCCCACCACCAAGGAGGAAGATCCCTGGCCCAAAAGGGCAGCAGCTGTCCTCAAAATGAGTCCGAGCTTGGTCCTGTCCCCTCACCCCCAACAGAAATCTTTCTCTCTCCTCTGAGGCATCTCCTTCTCATCTCCGTAGGTCAAGAGCTGGAAACAAAACTTCCCACCGGTCCTGGGAATAAGCAGAAATGACGTCCTGTTTCTATCCCCATCCAGGACATGCCTGATCAAGGGTGCCTTCCACACACAACCCGCAGCCCTGCAGGTGCAGGCCAGCTCTTTCATCTCCTGGCCCCGTGAGGACCCCCAAACTGTTTGGCAGGGTCCCCTCCAAGTGTGGAAGGCCTGGTGAAGCAGAGGCTAGAAACGAGAGACACGAGGGTGTCCAAGGGGCCCCTTTCCTGCCGCCTGGCATCCCCATCCACCCATCTACTGTGTCCTCACCCAGTAAGGAAGGCCAAGGATGTCATGCTGGGGTCAGGGGTGGTTCATGAATGGATTTTAATATGTTCTTTGTAAATAACGCTTTTTCTACTGAGAACTGCCATGTCTCTGTGTCTTCAGCCCAGGGCCATCCTTCAGCCTGGGGCTCCTTCCTGGGATGCCCACGGGAAGGGGAGATGCTTCTGGGCAGCTCTGTGGCCATCATGGTTAGTGGGCTGCAGACCTGAGTACCTTCAGTGCAGCACCGGCTGGAGCCCATGCCCTCCCTCCTGTGGCACCTGCCCTCTCCCTGAGCCCCAAGGACCCCAGGGTCATCCCAGAGCCTTGGTAAATTCAGTTAGTAGTTTGTGGCCAAAGTCATTTCACCCCATCACAGCCTCCAAGCCTGGGGCTGAGTGATTTTGTTTTCAATAACCCCTTCCACTAAATTAGCTCCTCCCCTTGTCTGGGATCCTAACAAACACAAAACCACCACCATGGAATTGATTCTCCTTCCTGGTGGCTCATGGAGGGCGGCTGCTCCACGCTGATGGAAGCTGATCACCAGCCTTCACTTCTGCTGCTGGATGGATTTGAATCGCCAACCTTTAGGTTTGTAGTCAAGCGTAAAGCTGTGTTATACCTAACCCTACAGAGCCTCTATTTCCTTTCTGTGAGAAGAGGTCTTTAACTAGGGGTTCGGGTCTCTAATGCAAAGAGGCTGGCCGGGGTGACTAAGCCCTCAAGCAGCAGACAGCTCCCCACAATGCACACCTGCATGCCTGGGGACCTGGCTTCTTTCCATAAACCTGGCACTGTATCCCTATAAGTGATAGACATCACTGGTCCAGCCCACAGACGTCAAGTCAGGACAAGCAAAGGGGGGTGCCCAGGATACAGAACATTAAATGTGGACTCACACAACAAGGGGTCTGGAGACACAAGACACACAACAAAGAGTCCTGGGAAAGTCTGGAAGGGCACCGTCCCCGAGAACAGCCCGGCCTCCCCCACCAGCAGCCAAGCCCAGGAGGTCATTGCCTTGGGGGGTCCAGATGTGTTTACCTTCTGGCTTGGCAGGAAAAGGACAGTGCTCAAAGGGGTGGAGATCACTCGCCAAGACAGCATCAAGGTACCAGGTCCTCAGACGCTCCTTTTAATGCATTTCACTGTGTGCGCACCACCACGTCGTTTAAAAGCAGTCGTGGTCTACTTTAAACACTGAAGACAAGCAACTTAGTTAAGGAAAAAAGGCCTCTCTTGGCTTCCAGGTGGCGGCAGCAGGCGTGGGTGATGTAATGCAGACAGATGCGTGGCTGAGCATCTCATCAGGAGCGATTTGGTTTCACTATCTTGTCAGCACCGACTCGGGGCGCCCCCTGTGTGTGCAGGGTAGAACTGTAGGGTTTTCAGGGCTGGCACGTTAAGGAAGGAGATGACCAGGCCTGGCTCCTAAGATGTCTCTGGGTGAATTCGAACACCCAGCTTTTTGGCAAGTAGTCAAGAGCTTAACCGTTCACACCAGCAGCCCAAGCCCAGGTGTGCGGTGAGCCACCGTGGCCTGTACCACCTTTGAGTCCTAGGCTTGTCTTTGGGACTTGACTCGTATCTTTGAGGACCAGCTCTCTGTACACCTCACGGTTCTCTGGATGGGGCACTGGAAGAGGTCTAGTCGGCTGGGCCCACCTCTGCTCATTCCCACCCGGAGCACGATCCATTTGCCCCAGGCCTTGAGTTTGACTCTATGTCTAAGTCACAGCAGACACAGAGTGTGTACCCCTTTGGCCTGGAGGACAGGACATCTCATACTCTCACACCAGAGCCGTGTGCCATCATCACCAGCCATGGAGCCGGGGGGCACCATTCTAAGAACAAACAATTGCCAAGGGCCCTCACTCAGGGGCTGTGCTTCACCAGGAAATGAGGTGTGGGTGAGAGGTCGCTGATTGCAAACACCCCCGTCACCCCAAAGGCAGCTCAGCACTTGGAATTGGGGCTGGATTGTTTTAGCCATCAGAAGGTGTCTGAGGTCACCTGGCTGGGAGGTTGCTTGGCCTGGGTGTTGCCACATCATGTCATGTGGACCACGAGTATATGTTGCAATTTAGAATTAGTTGTAAACACTTTATAAAAATTTGCCAATTGCATGCAAGAATCCAGATTCCAGATTTCCCTGAGAGGAAAGTCACCTCTGGCCACTGTGGGCAAGGGACCACATTCCTGTCTGGGAGTGGCCAGTGGACCTGGGAAGTCCCTTTGTCTCACACTCAGGGACATTCTCCTGAATTATGTCACCACGTGACCTAGGGGGCGATCCTTTCGCAGTCCCTGATGCTAGCCCACCTCCTGTTAACACTCAAGGAGGCAGGGGCCCCAGAGGGGAGCTCATTCCATCCGGGCCTCCCAGGGGCCGTTCATTCAGGGTCTGAGGATGCTGGAAGGGATGTTACCTGACAGGGAAGGATGTTTCAACCCAGCCAAAAGGAAAGTGTCCTATTGCACTAAGGAGCTCTGAGACTTTTAGCCTGACAGGGGCGGGTCTGGTCCACCAGGGGGCGCAATACCAAGTGACCTGCTGACCAATCCCAAACCTATTGTTGTCAAGTGGGTCCTGACTTATAGGGACCCTTTAGGACTGAGCAGAACAGCCTCCAGTTGTCAATCTTTGCATAAGCACACTGCCTCATCTTTCTCCCTAGAAGCAGCTGTTGGGTTTGAACCACTAATCTATTGGTTAGTGGGTGAGCACTTAACCACTGCACAACTACGGCTCTCTGACCCACTGACGCAGCTCCCAATAAAAGTCCCTTCTCAGGATGTGGTGCTGCCTCTAAAGCCACACACGTGCCCTGCCTATCACGTATCTGTCAGTTTGTCCTGCTGTGGTGGCCTGTATGTCACTGTGATGCTGGCAGTTATTCAAGGTCACCCACAGTGGACAGGCTTCTGTGGTGTTTCCAGGCTAAAACCAGAAAGGAGGACTGCACAGCCACTTCTGGAATAACAGGATTTGTGAATGTCAGTGGGACACTGACAGTGCCAGGAGGTGAGGCCCTCAGGGGGACACTACCTGACACAGTGCTGGAGGT